TCCCTCGCTCCAGCTCTCCCTCTCGCTCTCTCTCCAAAATATGCATATATATATTTCTGACAGTAATCTAGGAGGCCAAGTAACAGACCACATTCTCCTACTACTAAAATTATATGAACACCTAACACAGTTTAAATCCCTTAAATTGGGATTTATGCAAGGGTGACAGCAAACAATCTTCTGGCTATGCCATCACTCAGGCAGTTGCAGCTACTACTTTGCATTTATTTGTGAGAGTCTATGTGATGGATGCATATTTGTCCCCCTTCTACCCATGAATAACCTAAGGTAAATGACTTAAACCAATACTGGGAATCCAAAGCTTTGCCTGTGCTGGTAAAGCAAGCAGGACGATGGCATTGGTCTCAATGCCGGTTAGCATTTTCTTGCCCGGTCTGTGGGTGTATTTGGGGGAAAAACATGACCTAAACACTGTTCCCAGTAGGCAGTATGGACAAGGGCATCGTGTTCTGGGAGGAAAGAGAAGTATAGCAGTGTAAATGCAAGCTGTGCCATGCCACTTCTCTTAAGAGCCAGAGAGAGGTCCCTTGCCTCTTTTATTCACTAGTATTTATTTGGCCTCAGGGACTGTCCCCGGTTCCCGGAGAAGTTCCCTGAAGCTGTAGCTAGATATTGACTGTGTAATTCAAGTTAGTTTGACCCTAGAGAAGTTGTTCTAAACAGTTCTCTTCGATAGGAAAATACACTTCTTTCACTTCTGGGAAACTTGTATTACTTGTGAGTCACAAGGGTTTAAAAAAGCAAAACTGGTTGGCTTTGAAGTGAGTTGAGAAATATGTTCAAGAGCTCCTCCAAAAGGATCCTACTGAAAAACGTGGGAGCTAAGAGCTGAAATGAGGGGCTGGAGGGTGTGTGTAGAGGTGTCTGCACAAAATAATCCAGAAAAACAATGATCTTTGAAGACAGTGAAAATCATTTAATTCTCTGGTGCTTGTGGACCATTTTCCATATTTCCCTCAGTCTTTTGATAGGTCAATACTTTCCTTCTTGACTTCCAGACTCAGTGAGGGTGTTCAGGAACCTAGGAAGTAGAGATTTGGTTTCTTCTTTTCCTTGGACTGCTGGTCTAATTAAGCTGCACTCACTAATTGGATCAGGAGCTTGGAGGAAACTTTAAATTCATTCCCAGACCAGGGTTAGGCAAAGAATATAAATTTTTCCCACCGTTTTTCATGCTGATGCCTCTTTAGGTACTTTCTTTCTCCCATGCCCTTAGCCTGTCCCTGCTGCTCTTTAATATTTTCTTCCTCTTTGGTTTTCCTATTGGTTCGAAAAAGTCTATGGATTTATAATTCTTCCCCCAAGAAGAATATTAAAGTTTCATTAAGGTCTGACATCTCTTCTTCTCTCTCCCACATTCTGTCCTTTACAATTCTGAGATGTACAAAATGTGAAGGAAGTCCCCTTTGGCTTCAACAATGATTGATGCTAGCAAGAAGGAAGTCCCGAAGTGCTAGAAATGACAAGATACATGCAAGCTGTCATCATTTAATCCTACTGCAGTTTGTTTAGTTTGGATGTTACCCGAGTAACCCAAGTTGTTCAAATTTACCCTTTGCTTGGGGGAAGGTTTAGCTCAATTTTGTGTTGTGTTTCCTCACGATGCAGTCTGCGAGGGTGACAGGTAAGGGACAAACTGAGCTGGGGCACAGCTAGAAACTTATAACCATGGCAGATGACAGGGAAGAGAGGAAGGGACAGGTCTGAAGAGGGCTAAGAGCCCTAGAAATCTGCTAATGGCTTTAAATGGTTGTAGAAAGATGAGGGGAATGGTAGGGAGTGAGGAGTCATGGATAACGTCCTCCACACACACCTAAACTCCCATGGCATAAAGTCACACTGTGCTTAACTTTAGAAGACTTTTAGGAGGTGATCTTTGGCTGACATACTGAGCTGGGTGAACACATGGGCAAGTCTACATGCATCCAGGGTCTTTTCTTGACGAGTGGTTTTCTTTCTCAAGGCATGAGGAATGACAGGAGTAATGCACGTGCAGTCTACAGTGACAGAAATGGAGAATAAAAGCTGCTAATAGATGTAGTAATCGTATATGAAGGGGTTTTTGCAATGGACCATAAAATAATGATTTTTCATAGTATAATTACATGGCCAGAGTTTTGGAGGTGCTGAGGGCACCCGAATTGCACAGACTCAACACTGCTGCAGCAAATTGAGCCCATCAGCTCCTTCATCTTCACTGGAAGGCATTGCCTGCTTTTTAATCACCAAAGTTCTCTGTAAGACAAACATGCTCACATATATAACAAAATACCTCTTGCTGAACCAACCGATACAGATCATTTAGAGTGTCGACTGCCTCGACCTACAAACCTTCCTTCATTTGAAGAAATTACTCCTTGCAGGAAGTCTTTAGCCTACCTAGAACATCTAAGTGCCCATTTCCCTTCAGAAAATGATTGGACAACAGGTGCCCAAAGCGCCTTTCCACCAAATATGCTGACAACTCTGAAATGAGATTTAAGCAATCGAGGAGGTGACTCGGAGCGTGGCAATCCCATGCTTCACCATTCACCCCTAGCGCTCCGGGCTTGAGATTACACCTGATTTGAAGCATCCCCTGACTAAATAGAACAAGCCGTAAGCTGATCCCCGCGTCGTGCAATGTGCAAGCACACAATAGTAATCACAGCTAATGACTCCGCTGAATGCTAGGCTGCACACACCTCCTTGTTTGGTGTTTGTTTTGTATACAGAAGGTAACATCGACTGAATAACGAGGATGCCAAGTTACAGATGGGGTTGTGGAATCGTATTTGACAGCCGATTAGAGTAATCTGACAGAAATGATGACTTAATCACCACGACAGACTCCAAATTCCCAGATAGAATTCCACCCAGGTTAATCTAATTTCCTTGCAATATTTTTGCCAGAAATAGACTCTTAGCCGGCTTGTTTTCTCCCATGCAGATGTCACATGGCTTTGACAAGAATGTAAATAGGTAGTGTTATTATTGTCGAAAAGATGACTTTGAGGCTGTAAAGCTGCAGCGGATGCATGCCTTTGAGAGGTTTTTGGTTTGCTCTGCTGTGGTTTTTTCTCTAATGAAGTTATATTTACATACTGTGGGATGTACTCAGGAAAAAGAGGGGGGGAAAAAGATGTAACTAGTCAATTGTAATTCTAGGCCACGGCTCCGTCCCGCTGCCCTTGACATAGCCAACAGCCAGTCCCATTGATTTCAGGGGGATTTTCAGTATTGTGTGTTTGATAACTGTGTCTTTTCCTTTGTGGTTGCCATGCACCACATCAGCACCCCTGCTTGGGATGTGCCCGAGGAGAAGCGCTGACGTCCTGGGGCTCAGGCTCTGGGTAGCCTCCACTGCCAGCGCTGCCGCAAGGCACCACGCAACCTTGGGCACCGGGCATTTGCCTGCTGTCGGTTGTAAAACAGCGGTGATGGTGTGTTTGGAGACCTATGGATAGAGGGGGCTTACGGGAAGGGTAGGTCGTGCCGTTACTGGCTGCACGACTGCGCTTGGTAGAGCGCTCTGAAATGCTGCTGAAGAGAGGCTGTTCCTCACAGCCCGTCCCTGTTTGATTCTGATAGCCCCAGGCACTTGCTTGCCGAGGGCAGTTGCCCACACTCAGAAAGAACTTGCCTGAGAGCTGTGGTGGTCTCTTTTACTGCAGGGTCTGAACACAGGATGATGTTAATGCCTATAAATTATTTACTGCATTACTTTTCTCACTCCTGCCTATTTATTAATTGCAACTGTGCATTCATAAATACTGTATTTTTATAAGCAAAGCTTTCTTCAAGCACAGAAGAAAATGTTTCCTGTTTTTCTCTGTGACAATATGACATACTGAGAAATCACTTACCTTGAGATCCATAAGTGTATGGCTTTGTGATGTATAGCTACAATAACAGCTCTCTGATAAGACATGAAATCCTTCATTTCAGTAGATGACATGATTCTAGTGGGTGGCATCTAATTTGAAACAGGTTTATATCATCTATAATCTTTTGGAGGGCCTCGGAAAGCACAGCTATTTTATTATTTCATAGCCTGCAGTTATACAAGCAAGATATAAAACTCGCAGATTATTTTCTCTTTTGCTTATTGTAGAGTGAAAGGCTAGTACCTATTTAGCCTTTGTCTCGGCCCCTTTACTTTTCTTATTCACTGCACACTTCTTTGAGAGTCATTCTTTTCTTTTCGTTTCTACGCTTACTTTTAAATATTTTATGGGTAGAGAGCTTATAATATGTATTGTCACGGCAGTTGTCTCTAGAGGTCAGCAATGAGTTTAATAATGAGATGCGAACCAGTGACTCTGTAAAACCCATTTCAGGTTATAAATGGCATGTTTTATTGAATCTAGTGTTAAAGGTTGTTAACGTATCAATTGGTGATGGTCAGGGTTAAACAAGCTTCAACACGAGCCCTCTCATGTTAGGAAACTGTCAGTAACGTATTTTTCCACCTTCCTCTTCACTGAAGCCATGTTTGTGTATCGCATCCATTTTACCATGGGTATTCTGCGGTTCAAACTCTCCAGGCCTGATCTGAATCTTTTATTAGTTTCGCACCGATACAATTTTGCTAAGCACAACGGCATCACTGCTGACTTCGGCTTGCCGGTGCGAAGAGAATTTGGACCACGGGTTTTTAGCAGGAACCTTTGAAATCAAGTCAAAACGCGGTTGAAGCATCTTGTTAAATCTTGCGTCTTGCTTTGTGAACGTAACGGATTACTGACTTAATGAACTTGGGGTAATTGCATATAACAGAATAGGGTGATTTCCGATGTGGTGACTGTGTCAGGTGACACTGATCTTTATGTTGTGACTGTGGGGCTGCAAAAATAACTTCTTCACATGAATTTGGTCTAAAGTTGGCTTCTCTGGTTCAGGCAGTTTGAGGAGTTAGAATTGCATTTACTGAAAATATCTCCACTTAGGGGCTAGAAATGCAGCTAGAAGAAAGAGTGATAGATTCTCTGCCTATGAAAGGTCTGGATTTGGGTTGGGTTTTTCTTCTTATAACCGACATACTCCCAAATTTACAATACTCACTTTTCTTTCCTCTATTTTCTTACTTCTCCATTGCTCCTCAGAGACATCAATACCTGCAACGGGCTCATGGAGCAAGTTACACCTTTTTTCCTCTTTCACTTTTCACTTGCTGAGTGGACATGCTGCATCACATTCCCATGAATTTAAAGTCTCCTGCAGTGCCCAATGTATTGTTGATGCCAGGATAAATGTTAAGCACTAGTTAAAGAAGATAGAGTACAATAGAAGTTCCCTTTTTTCTATAAATTAGATCGAATAAGAGTGGTGGCAGACAAGTGCTGGGCTATTAAAGTCCATTTGGGAAACAAATGATTCAAAGAGAACAGAATTGTTAAAAGTGAAGCAAATTTATGCATCCTGGTGACTACATCCACCTTGCGGCTTTGCCTTTTCCTTCGCGCAGAGTGGGGAGTTTCACAAGCGGTACAAGGACTGCATTGATTTGCAGGGCCAGGGAGCATTCTGGACTTTGAGTAAATCTTACAGAAACATTCACAGCAATACTTTATATTTTCTAAAGCATCTGGCAACTGTGTCCCTGGAGGTTGAGTGACTCCACCAAAAGCAATGCAGATTTGGTTTTCTGTGCTGTTCTGAAAGCACATTTGATATGAGCCCATGGATGCTCCTGCTCAGCTGTTTTTGCTTCCCAAAGTTTGCCGTAATAGTCTTTTATAATAAAAAAAAAAAAAAAGAATTGCCTCTGACATTTTCAGGCAATACTTGTCTCTGCTGCACTGAAAAATGACACAAAAGCATTTTTACCTGCTAATGTGAAATGGTGAGGAATTGCTGAGGAGAGGAAGGCAGTGGCCCTGCTGCGGCTGGAAGGTTTGTGCACTCAAATCTCAACAATTCTGCAGAGCCCTATGAAAGAAAATAAAAGGCGGGGAGGGGTTTGCAAGCTTAAATGTCTCCCACATTGAAACTCAGTGTGAGGTCAGTTCGGAAGGCTTTTGAGAAGCTATAAGAAAATTTTCCTGAATCTGTCACAACGGACACACGGCTGGCTATAACCAGCGTCCGGTGGAAAAGCCACAGGCTCTGATCAGAGGGAGCTCAGCTGTTGTGGAGTTGCTACTCCTGAAACAACAGAAAACACCGTTTGTAAAAGTTTTGTTGGAGTTCTCCACCCTTCAGTGCGGGGGGAGCATCACTATTAATGAAAGCTGAGGACACGCGTGCCAAGGTCGGATGCCGCGCGACGTTCAGCATAGCATGCCACAGGGCTTGGCTGCTTTTGCAGCAAGAGGGACATGAATGGAGGAAGAGATTGAAAAGGAAAAAGTATGAGGAGTTTTTCTGGAAGACAGAGTTGTGCTGTGTTGTGATGGAAGCTTTATGAATGAATGTATAATGTATGCTGAAGAAAAAAAAGATGAGATACTAAACAGTTATAGGAAGCACAAGTCTCTTCCTCTTCAGTCCTGAAAGAATCAGCACATGTTTTTTTAATTACAAGCAAAGTTCATTTGTCAAACTCAGTCCTCTGAGTATGTTTGAGATGCTTGCTAGCTCTTAAATTACTTGAAAATTGCATCTCAGTTTTGGCAGTGGTTGAGCTCAAGGAAAAAAAGTTGGTAAAACAGAAACCAACCATGCCATAAACTAATGAGGGCTGTAATTTTAGAGGTCTTCAGAAACTAGAGACAGCAAATTAAAGTTTTATATGAGTCCTGTGGGCCCAATGATCTATTTTTTTTTAATCTTCCTGGTTATAAAATGCTCCTTTACCATTTTATTTTTTCTTAAAAGCCTGTAATATAGCGTTATTTTGAATTTATATCATTTCAACATGTTTAATATTAATCATGTATCTTTTTAGCCCTTCATTAAAAACATGATTCTTGATTTTTTATGACTATCCAACCTGCCTTACTCTTTTTAATTTTTGTTTTTAGATGCATCATCCTATTCAGATGAAACCCGCAGACAGTGAAAAGTCAAATGGTATGTGTTTAATTTATTTTTACTTAATTGTGACTCTCTCTAAACTAAAGCAAACACAACACTCTCAGAGTTTTTGCCTTACTCCTTGTGTGGTGAAAATGATATGAGGTAGTTTCCCTACACCTGACATGCTGGGGAAGATGTTGACCACGCTATGAACTCCCATTTATCCTCTGCTTTAAAGAAGGAAGGAAATGTGCTGAAAAATGGTCTTCCTTGTACCTGCTGTGTGTCAGCCTACCTCGCTACGTCCATCTTTCCCTTGTGTTCTACCAGCGAGGGGATGCAGGAGCACCTGGTATCGATAAAATGGAGCTGAAATATTAATGTTGAAAATGCAAAAGAAAAGAAACAAAATACATCCCTGTGTTAACAAACCATGTAAGCAGCTGATGGGCCTTAAACATTTGCCTAAACTTGCTTTTTATAGAATGATGCTGTTCTGAATCTGACACAAATTTAGATTTTAATCATATGCTTGGTTCTGAACTGGGAAACCCACCTTGCAGCTCTCTGTATACTTATTCCTCTCAACGATTGTAAAATGAATGCCATAATGACGGTAATATCCATTCAGAATACTAGGTTACTGCCTAAGTGGATGTATATGACATGCAAAATAGACAGCATGCTAAATCTATTAAACATGCCAGGTTTGTATATTCAAGGAAATAAGATAATCGGATGGTAACGCAGCCTGGCTGTGTGTGATTCTTTAAAAATATATACATGTGTATGTTTTGCCCCTTGATTTGTTCCTGTAATTTTCTAAAATATATGTTAAAGATATCATCTGCCTTCTTAGATTGCAAGAGCTTCATTTTCCCATAAGGCCCACATAATCAGAGCTGGTTCCTCCAACAGGCATCTTTGCACCTCATTAATTAGTAATCAGGGCAGAAGCCGTGCACTTAGAGATCTACATACCTGCAAATGTAAATTATGATTGGGCTCTAAATCTCTCCACAAGGCTTTTTTAAGGCTTCTTTTTTGCTAATTGTAGTGCATCCCATTTTCAAGCTTCTCCAAGGATTATAAAGTTTGGAAGGAAATTAAAACTTCACATTATGCTAGCTGTGCTGTTATGACAACTTTCAAAACAAAACTGGCCACAAGCACAGGAAATTTGAGACATCACCCATTTGTAAGGCAGTGGCGTTCTCTCTCTTGGCTTGTGCGTTAGCTGTGATTTGTTGCTTGCTTTGAATGCTCAGAAGATAGGCCAAGGCACCTGCACGGGCAGGAGGACCAGACTTTTCAAGCACCACTGTAGTCAAGGAGAATTTTGCTGTTGGAATCCAAACTCCACTCCCTAGTTTTTATTGTGCTTGCAGCGGGCAAAATTTTCCCTTACCTACAGGAGCATTGGCCTGGGCCCTCTGAACCAAGTAGAGCCTCTATGGGTTCTTCTTTCAAAGATAAATTTCACCTCAAGTTCCTTGGCAAATTAGAAAAATAAGTGGCAATGGGCCAAAATAGACTCCCAATGAGTTATTTGTTCATTGCCTGAAATTTTTCTTCCTAAAGGAGGTTGAACATATTGGCAAAGCACTATGGGGAATTGTGCAAATTCTGTCTTGCTCTACAAATAGCACCTGCTTGGAAAGCAGGGTAGGTGAGCTCCTCCTGTTAGACCGGGATTATCTGCATGGTACGTCTGTGTGCACTGTGGGAATACTCTTAATCTTCAGAGTACTCTCTTGCACCTCTCTCCATCATGAAAACTTTGAGGGATTGGCTTTTGTTTGCTTTGTTTTCTTGCCTGCCTTTGTATTTTGGGGAGAAAACATTGACAGATCAGAGGTTAAAGATAATTTGGTAAATTAAATACCTTTTTAAATTTAGGCTCCTGAAGGGTGTAGGTACTTCTGGTAGGCATGTTCTGGGGGTGGTGAACTCTTCTTTTCTAATGACTGCGGAAACAGAAGGTGAGCTAATAACCGTGATGACGGTAACAATGGTACAGCTCCTTGGAAAGACACGGTGTAGGCATGGGATCCATGGAGGAGGTTAGAGTTTGCAAGCAGCTTGGAAAGCCAAAAAGAGAAAGAACAGCAGCACGGGGGATGCAGAGGCCTGTTTGGCACGTGTTTCTCATTGCTGCAGGCTATCCATCTGTGCCAACAGCAAATTGTAAACTGTACCTCTTCAGCCAGATTGGTAAGTTCAAAGGGGACAAGAAAGCAAACGTGCCAAGGCATCTTGGTTTTCATATTTTGTGGTGTTTGAGCTTTTGAGGAATGCTTAAAACCCTTTGATTTCTGAGTAGTGGGAGGATCCCACTACATTTTATAGGCAAAGTAGTGTTTCTCAAATTTCAAAGAGGTTAAAGAAATTCTCTTGGTCCAACTTTCCAGATAGCTTGTAGAAAGATACGCAGGAGAGGCTGAACACGCATTACAGTTCTTCTGAGCTTGCACATGGCTGTGAAGGCTTGAGAGACCTGTTCAAGTTCCACAGGGAGGAAGAAGAGGTCCCCTCATTCATCTTACCGAGGTGTTCAAAGAACAGTATTTGCTGTGTGACGTCTCCTCCCCATCTTGAGTCCCTTGCAAAAAGGTTTGAATGAGCATCCAAGCCCAGGAGTACCAGGGTGAAATGCTCCTCCTTCCCCATCACTGTCCCTGTCTTTAGATGTAGGCGTCACTTCAGAAGCCTGTTCCTTGGCACAAAAGGCCAAGCTTGCCTCGTGGAAACTGGGAGACAGGTATGGAAGAGGCACCTCCTGCACACGTTTGACTAAGTGCCTAGGCACTTCGGCAGGATTACGACTTTATTAGCAACCCGACGATCTGTTTTCTTCTGGATAGGAAGTGGGTGGCTGATGGATCTGTGTAATCATCTCCATTCCTTCCCTGCGTGCAATAGTTCATGTGTCTGAGTCATCTCTCTGCTCGTGCAGATGGAAGAAAGCTTAATTTCTTCCACCAAACTTTTAGAAGCTAGAGCTGATGGGGAAAGACTTGCCTTTAGATCTAATTAATTTGTCTACCTGGGAGGGTTCTGAAAAGACTTTTATTGCTGAGAAATGTAACATCCTTGAAAGATGTTCAGCTGATGAATTTTGTAGTGCGTCCATTTCCCATCACCCGTTAGGTCTAGTCTGACCACTTTTATATTGCTAAGTGGTTATTTTAACCTGTCTACAAAGTTTTGGTTAAGGATTACCTGCCAGAAAAGCATGGTTTCAAGACTTTGAAGGCTCCACCATTGCTAGATTCATCTCAATCACTCACAGTATTTAAGGATATTTTCCCATTTTCAAACAAAGGGGGTTCCTGCACTCTAGTGCCAAAAAGCACATAAACACATGCTTGACTCTAACTTGTCTGTGGCCATTAACATGCTACAATCTAGCAAATAAGTAAGTATTTCTTGGATCGGCATTTGAATACAGTCAATACTTTCAGGCACGTATCCTGAGGAGATGGAACAAAGCATCGCTACTTCAGGGAAAACGACAAAATTCCATATTATATATAAAAAAAAACAAAGGGGAGGAGGGTAAACGAGTGATCTTATAATTTATTTTTATTTATTTTATTAGTGAAAACTTGAAGAAATAATTTTGAAATTCTAACTGGCACAACTTTGCCGTTTTGGAGGGAGTAATCAAATGCCATATGTTAGCACTAACACATAGAAAAGTTGATAATTAATGCAGGCAGCTCCAGCTCCAGGTGTGACTTTGACAGATTGTATGCAAGGGTTTTTCACAGGCTCACAAATAGGGATAAAAAGTGTGTTTTCCCCCCTTCCCCTCTGGATGAAAAAAAAAAATTATACATAATTAACTATTTCTTGATTTGCTCAAAAGAAAAGGCAACTTCTGAGTGGAAAATACATGCTTTAAATGACCGGACTCCTTAAAAATGTATAATAAAGGGATATAACTGTGATTTTTCAAGACAGAATTTTGGGGATTTAGAAGAGAGAAAAGGAAAGTTTGTTGAATCTTCAGGGAGATTTCCCATTATTATTACAGGGTTTAATTCTTTTGTAGCGTACAGAAAATAATCTCTACTCCTTTATTCTCCTGGGTTAACACAAGCAATCTAATACAGCCTGCAAGAAATGCTCATTGCTGAAGCAAATTGAGTAAAGCTAAAAAATTAGAGCCTTCAGGATGTTATTCTGCAACCTGGATGTAGTGCTGTCAGAAGGCAGGAGGGTCCGGTTTGAAAGAAGTCCCCCTCAGCAGAGGCAGATAACATCTCAGATAGCTTTTGATGGCTAACATAGCTCTGCGGCTTCAAACACGATACCTAGCCACCCGTGCTAGTGATTGCAGAGCTAGTCTTGATGGAGTTACGAGAACAACTCTCTTCATCTTAAAACAGATATCTGCACTTCGTCATGCCTGCATTCGGGCAAAAGATTCCGACCCCAAATCCAGCAGGCTTAGCACTGGGTGCGTCACATTAGCTTCCCAGGCAACATAGCTGACTTGTGTTTGTACTATGTTTGGATAGATTAGAGGTGAATCCCATAATTATTTAATTGAGATACAGTTTCACACCTTCCTTCATGTAACTAGAACTTCAGGCCTTATTCACTGTGACCTTCTGGCTGCTTCTGCTTCGTCCATGTGGAGCACCCAGCCACCCCATCCTACTAGCTGCTTATGGATGGTTGTATCCACTTTATGTCCCCAGAGTGGCGCAAAACAGCCAGGAAGTACAACTAGGCTATGAGCAAAGTCCAGAAATAATGATATCAAACACTTGCCAAAAATTTTCATTAATTTTCTGGATTTTGAATTATTGAAACCTACCCCTAGTGTGGGAGACAATTATCAAGCAGCAGCGAAATGCTTATGAGATATGTGCACACAAGTGGTGACCCTTGGGCACTTTTATCCTTTCCCCACGGCCTTCTCCTGCCTGCTTTCATTGCCCAAAGCACTCCCAACTCCCAGGCTTTGTCCAGTCCCTCAGAGCTCACTTATTCCTCCCGTCCCTGCAGCTAGATCTCAGGACATCTATGTGTTATCATGATGACCAAGTTTTGGGAGTTGGCTGGAAGGTAACAGCCCTATCTATTGTCAAAGGTGAGGGAGAGACTCTCATAAAACAAGCCAACCCATCTTGCTGGGAGAGGTGAGATCAGCCACTCTTTGGAGGAGCTGATCTCTTGGCATTGACAACAGCCAACTGATAACGTTTTATCTGAGACTAAGACTGGACATCTAAACTGTAGATGACTGAAATTAGGCTAGATGGCTTTAGACTGTGATCCTTTCTCCAACCAGCAGCAGGTAACATCTTCCCTGAACTCAACGCTTTGTTCAGTCACGTGTGTTTAACGTTGGGTTCCTCATTTTACAGTCTACGGGAGCAACCCAACATGCACAGGCAAATCAGCAGACTTGGCTGATCAAAAGGGAAGTTTGCTAAGCTCTAAATATGTTTGACCCATACTTCTTGCAGTCCGTTGTCTATTTGATTCTCAAACCATACCTGCATGGCATGTAAGAATTCATTTTAGAAAGAAAGAAAGAAGTGGCTGACCAAAAATGCAAAAACAAATCTAGACAGTCTTACAGAGGTGAAAAACCATTCCTTTCTCTACGTGAGAATATATCGTTAGAAATTCTTTCAGCCTAATAATATCAGATGTTCTATCAGATGGAGTCAAAACATGTCATTTTGGTCCTGACAATTGTCCCTTTAAATGTATTTTATGCTGGGTCCCTAGCCAAAAAAAAATAGCCATTTTCTTCAGCTTCAACACTGATCAGCACTGACTAATAGCACTGAATGCAGAGCACGTCATCTTATCAATATGTTTTCTGTACTCTGAGCATTCTTCATGAAATCTGCATTTTTAAGATGTACAGTACATGGGAGCTGGATGTTTAATTTACTATAAAATCACCCTCAAGCTGAAAACCTGCAAATCATGTTAGTTAAATGGCATATTTATAGGTTTACTAGCGAAGCTGAAGGAGGCCGGTGGGGAGTTTGCTACTCTTTGGAAAATTAAAACAAAGCCTTCCTATTTGCATCTCATTTCTTTTGAATCTCTGTGTGAAACTCTTTGGTTTGAGTCTTTGTCCTGCCACCTAAGCAGGTCCCGAGGGACCTCCTTTGGGGCGGAGTGGCGGGCATTTGTCCAGCTCAACCAGCAGCTATTTTTGAGAGTTGGGATCTAGTCACCCTTAGGGTAGACCTACACACTGTATTTCAAGCCTAAAAGCAACCCAAATTTAAACTGGCTGGTACTAGCTGACACACGGGTAGAAGATAGAGGTTTATAACACAGAGCAGAAGGCAATGCTTGGAGCTCGTGCGTGGCACCAAGGCTTCCCCCAGCCTGACCTCGGTTTGCGCTCAAAAAGCAGCTCAGCTCCCCGCCTCGCCTCATACCCCTTCCTGCACCCTGGCCATAGTGTGTGGCTGTTGTCGAGGGGACAGGCTGGCCAGGCACCTTCCTCAAAGAGACTGCTCAAGGCAATATAGGAATTGTAAGCAGCCAAGTTACAGGCATCCTTTCACCAGCAAAAGTGAATATCTAGACTCCCCTTGTGGCTGTGAGCAAAGCAATTCAGTTTTACCACCCTTAAAATAATTATTAGCAGCATCAAGGCCAGTTACATATTACGAATCAGACGTAAAGTTTCACTGTAAGACATAAATATACTTGCAAATGTATATATATACACATATATATAAAATCCCAACTTGCAGGTCTTACTTGCAATCACACGTATTCTGCTCCTGATGTGTACATAACTGGCTCATCCCATGCATTCATCATTTTTTAACCCTTTCTGGAGGGTTAACCTGCATGTGGAACCTCAATATAAGGTGTGAATGAAAATATTGAGTCTTAAGGAATCTCTGCTGAGAAAAATTTCTCCTGGGTGTTAAATTCACACCAATTTTCTTGCAAGTTTGTGGAGTGAGAAGCTGGGTCTGTAAGGGCTGGTCTCTGTTTTGGATTCTGAAAAATGAAGAGTCTTGGTGCTTGCTTGTATAAAAGCTACAAATACTTTTTAAACTCAGCGATTCTAAGGAAAAAATTACTTCAAACACCTCTCATGCTCAATAAACATGAACCTCTTCTTTCTATTGTTGAAATTATTAAATGCACTTAAAGCGTTGAAGTATAACACAGATAGAATCCTATGAAAATAGATGCAGTTTCGTCTTCCTCAGCTGCAATTTATTCCATTTGACAAACTTGTACTAATACAGGAGAGAGTGAGCAAGGGAAGATTCATTTTTTTTTTTGTAAGCTCAGAAATGAAAATACTTCGTTACAAAAATAATTTGCACAATAATAGAAATAAGTAAGTGCACTGCAGACTCTCTGGAGTAAAGCTTTCCTTCTCTCTTTGCTTCCCCGCAAACTGACAGTCTGCTCATTAACAGCAAATTGGATTTACATGCCATTTCAAGAGAAGAAGAAAGCACTGCTGTATACACTGGATAATAAGCACTTAGATATTTAAGATAGATGGGAGGGCGCATTAACATTTTTAAGTCATCCAGGGTGAATTAAGTTTTGATGACCTGTTTCATTTTTGACAAGAGTCCACAGCTTTAGACCTGTAAATTTGAGTTTGACTAACAGGACTGCGTGTGTCCTGCTACAGCGGTTTAGCTGTTGCCGATTTGGGTGACAATGCAGGCAGGGAATATTCTACCAATAATTCAGGTAAAGCACCTTTTTTTTTTTTTTTTTTTTTTTTTTGCAAACTCAGCACGATTACATATCAAAGGGTTTGGCTCTGGGAGAGCATTCTGCAGCCCCCCTGTTCAAGTGATGCCCTGGAACGTGCCTCGTGTCCCCCTGAAGGGGAGAGGGCTGTGGCTGTCTGAAAAAAAAAGCAGGAACATTTAATGCATTCTTTTTCCCGAGCAGTCATTACACATCTGCCTTTCGAGTGCCATGCATTAAGTTGGCTGAAATTGAAAGCTCAGATAGGAGCCGCTCTCTGAAAACATGTCTCAGGAATATTTTTCATTAGCTGATATCATTACGCGTACAATCCCATCTTCACCCTCACCCCCTCATGATTTCTTTCACACATGAGGGAGGTGAGGGAATTTATCTGAATTAAAATCTATGCAAGGATATCTTTAAAAGTCTCTCTAACAGAGGATGCTTTTCTCTTAGAAGCCGTGATGGGTAGGCATATGCAGGATGACTAAGGCAGCCAATTAATGTGTTCTATAAACAGCAAGCACCACTGGAAAAAGGAGAGAAAGAAAGAAAAATGAGAGATTTGGGGTGGAGGAAGAAGGGGGAAGGGAGCTTGTAAGTATAAAGTGTTTGCCTTAGGACTTGTCTTCAGTTACAGAGCCAGACTCACATGACTGGAGCTTGGTTTGATGTGGTAATGAAGCATTGATCACAGGAAAAAGATGAAATGGCCTTTGCTCATTCATTATTTTTATCTTCTAGCTGTGGAAGACAGAAAATTGTTCATAGGAATGGTTTCGAAGAAGTGTAATGAGAATGATATCAGGGTGATGTTTTCTCCGTTTGGCCAGATAGAAGAATGCCGAATCCTTCGGGGACCGGATGGGCTGAGCAGAGGTGAGTGTGCAGTCTGTAAAGTCTCTTTCCTTAAGTGCTAATTGGGAGCTCTGTGTCACAGCCAGGGTAGGCATAGCCACTGTCTCTAGCTAGAGGTTACGCTGCAATACGTCCCACGTGATGAAGGTATCCACGTGAACTTTTCACAGTGACTGAAATTATCGCCTTTTATTTCCAGTGTCAGAAAGGTCTCGGTGCCAACAGATTAACTTGCGTTATCGCCCTGTTTGTCAGCTGGAAAGGTTCCTCTGCACCCTGAGAAAACACCCTCAGTTTTCTGCTCTTACAAAATCAAAGATCCTTCCCTGACCCCTTTCTGCTTTGTAGCGTAAGGCCAAAAACAAAACAAACAAAAAAGAAGGGCTGTAAGTGACTGCTTGAAGTCATACAGAGTCATGGGAACTGGCCCTCACCGTAGCACTATCATCTCCTCCGTTCCTGTGTTTTCTATAACTATATGCAAAACATAGGTCTGCCGTTAACTCGGAAACAAAGAGGTTAGCTTGAACTTGAGAGCTTTGCCTGGATAAAACTTTGTAAAAAGTGCTTTTAAATCTTGTGCCTGTATCACAACCCAAAAAACAGGGCAGAGGTGTTAAGCAGCACCACCGAGAGTGGTCAAGCGTCCGACCTGAACTTTGGAAATGAAGTGCAGCACAGGCTTCTATTGAAGCTATTGCTGGTGATCCCTTTTGAATGCAAAACTGCCTTTTGGGCAAAGGCTCTCTGAAAACATATTGGAGAGAAAAATAAATGTATATTGATGACCCAGCCTGCATATTAACTCCTTGGTATATGGACCCAAAATCATTCTTGGAGCGTGAACCTTCTCAAAAAGTCAGTGCCAGGTGGTGCTGAGTGGAAAAGAAAATAGTGATAGTCCCATCGGTCAGTGGGGAAGGATGCTGTGGTACTAGCCATGGCCATTTAACAGCATGGGGAGTAAAGTAATTTTAAGTGTGGAGCTGTGAAGAACATCACTTCTGTTTGTATAGAAATTAAAAAAAAAAAAAGAAAACAAGCATAGAAAGCACAGTTTATGCATTTTATTACATTTTCAAAAGGCACAGAAAAAATAATAGTACCCATTTTGCATATAGATATAGGTATAAGTATAGATATTTTTCTTTACTTCTGGATCTCCTTGTTTCCAGTAGACTCTTATGATCTGCAGTATTCTGTGCAGCAATTTGTGCATGGGGTGTTTTGTTTTGTGTGCAGTCCAGCTTCTTCAAAATGCCTATAAATTTCAGCAGGGGAAGTTGCAGATATTCCTATATTTCATGGTGCTGCTTGAAAGCACTTGCTATACTGCTTCTGAATAATAAGGACGTGTTGAAAAGATACTCTGTCAATAAATAGGGAGCCCCAAGAAATTACAAACTTACGTTTATGTGTCTTAGTCCGCATGCTTAGTCTGCAATCCCAAAAGTTTGGGGGCTGGGATGCAGCAGTCCCTTCAGGCAAGGAGAGCCTCAGGATCGTGCCTTGGAGAAGACCAGGGGAAAGGCCTGAGGCTGGTTCCCACTCAGTAATGAATGTTAAATGATGGAGTAGAGTGCTGTCATTATCTGTCTAGACTCAACATTGAAGCAAAACAAATATTTCTGATTTTCACTGATTTCACTTTTTAAGTAGCACAGGGAAGGGGTGATGGAAGACACAAGTGGAAAGGAGCGAAGTAACTGCTGAAATAACAAGATGTTTTGAGCCTCAAAAAGATTTAATTGACTCCTCAGCATCACCCAACAAAGAAATGGATCTTTTCTGGGGTCCATAAAAATCCCACTGCATACTTGCTTTTATTCAACAGACATTGGGCATAGTACAAGCATAAAAAAGTTAATTATGAAATCCACAGAGGAAGTAAGGATGGGGGGTAGTTTTGTTCTGTCATAAATAGCAATCTCACGATAATCAGAAGCTGAGATTTTTAAGCCATATCACCAACATATCAGGCAGGGCATTGTCATCTGCCAGCCAGCAGAACCATGGAGTTAATGTGCTGCTCTCTTCTGCTGGAGGCTGAAGATCTCGGTCCAGGTAGGTCACACACCAGTAGTCGTAGCAGAACTGTATCCTCTCTGCCAGGTTTATTTCAGTCACAATCACGACTGGTATTCTATCATGCCCTCATGCATCATGCCTTGTTAAACTTGAATTGCTTTCTACACACCGATGTTCACACTTGAAAATGAGCTCAGCTGTGCCAGCCAGGTTCTCAGGCAGATTTTTATCAGCTTCACAAAACCACCACTCCATGGGAGCAGGCAAAGTGTTGGGAAAATGGTTGGTATTGCAGTTGAAATGAAAAGTGCTAAGGGAGATTTGCAGTAGAGGGAGCTTGGCTGAAAAAGCACAGGGTGAAAAGCTGCACCACTGAGGAAAGAGGGAGAATTTATACAGTTAAATCTTTGTAACGAGTTCCAATACTTAACGAGTTTTAATTCATGTTACCGCTTCCAAGATGTTAATTCTGTTTGCACAAACAGTATTTGTTTCCCAGCACCCGTCCGGATGTGCTTCCCTCCCAGACACAGAGGGGTGAATGAAAAATAGTCACTGTCTTAGGAAAACACTGTCCTCACCATGCCAGACCTTCAGGAACTCACAGTGCTCACAGCAGTGGGATGGAAATATGGTCCAATAAACTCTGTTTGGCATCTCTTGTCAACTGCATAAAAAGTGCACATCATAGTATCTCGGACAAAAAGAGCTAGAGAAGTATATTCGTTGGTATTTATGCCAACTTTCGAGTTTTGATAAAGGGTTCAGGCAAATAATCTTTATTGCCAGCAGATAGTTGCAAGGGGTAGCTCCAGGTTACACTGCTCAGGAGAACAGTTTTGGTTTGTGCTGCTTTTTTTTTTTCTTAATACAGAGTAAAAAGCTTTCCGTCGGCTTAGGCCATGTCTACACTACAACAGCAACCGTATGACCAGCACGGTAACAGTCTGCTGTCAACCCCTAGGCGGGACGTAGGGTTGTAGTGTGCCACATGGCTCTGGTAGCAAGACGAAAACCTATCCTGTGGCATCAAGGGAAAATGTAACACTTTGTGATGAGTGTGATATAAGTGCTAAGATAAAGAGAAAGAGGAAGAGAGATGGAACTGGTTGTTTCTATCGTAGTTTCTAGCCAGGAGTTGACAGAACTTTAATAAAGTCGCACCCATTGCTGTCACTACTGATAATGGACCATCAACATTTCCTCTCCAAATTCCTATTGTCAGCTGTTTGAAATTCATCTTAAAAAGAGACTAAAATAATGATACAAAGCTCCTGTATATTTTAAAGAAACTGAGATTTTTTTTCCTTGAGTCATTTTTTTCTCCCACTGTTGTTTGCTCCTCCATCTCAGAAATAATTGTTTATATCTATAACTTGTTATATTCCGCCAAGCTACAAGAAATAGGCAGCAACCAAAAGGCATTGCCTTCCAAAGACTCTGGGATAGTCCCTGTGAAATTAGTTGGCTGTCAGAGAGTAATTCCTAGCTGTGAAAAGTATTAAAAAATAAAAATAGCCTGTTGGCTGTAGAGATAAAGGAACCAGAGACTCAACAGACATGGAGGCTGGCCTTCGCTTTAGCAGGGTTCATGGGACTATCTAAAGAAGCTTGCCACTGCCTGTACTATATCCATTATTCAAAGAGAAGGATTCAGCCTGCAGGGTTGTTTAATCCAGCACTTTTTCTGAAGAGCTAAGTATGCTTTACAAAAATTCATGATTGTGATATCATGTGCTAAGCTTCATTATCATGAAAAAGCAGAAGTGAACTGCCTCAGATGATTAAGATTTTAAATCACTTATTGTAAACGGCTTAAGGAAACTTTCAGACCTCCTGACTCCTAGCACTACGTAATGTCTACATGACCACAGATGCCAACACAGGCAGCCATGCAATGATAGCTGGAGTGTGCCAAAATAGCCAGAAACACCCAGGTTTGATTTGTAGCTGTACCACTGATGTGCTGTATTGACCCTACGTGAGTCGGTCTCTCATCATCTCTCCGTTACCCCATTTCTTAAAATAAGGATAGCGATGCTCCTCTGCCTTTTAAAGTAAAATGCTTTTTTTAGATCAGTGGATCAATATCCCTGTATCGCTTTAGGAATTATTACCATCTGTAATGATGATTAAAAAAATCCTCTTATGCTTATCACAGGAGCACCACACAGCAAATTATTCTGCTGTATTACTATATGCCGATTTATATAGCAGATACCAGAAAGAAGTCAACTGGGTTAATAGTATGCACTGAAAAAAGCTGCTAATAACATATACAGGCAGTTGGATATACCATGAAAATTGTGGAAAAGCTCCAAATGCATATCCTACATCTTCTACACTCTTCATTGTATGATTTTTTAGCAAAATCTTGCCAGGCACATGGGACAAGTGAACATTTCTCCAGACATTGATTACAAGGATTTTTTTTCTTTCTTTCTTTACTTTAAGAGCAGGTTAGAAGTGACATGGAGAGTTATACCGTGGTCGGGCAATTTAATTTCATGAAAAGCCATTCATAACTTTGAGATTATGGGGTTTTCTTGATGAATTGGTAAAAGAAAATTAGTATTTGCATCATAGTTAATTGCAGTGAAGGGTAGATGAGGAGATTTTCTGCCTGTTTGTTTTTCCTTATGGATATTTACTGCTCCTTCATGAGCCAAGGTAACATAAAAGTGCGAGCCATGGGAGCAGCCTGGATTAGGGGCCGCCTTCTGACCTGTGTATCGGTGATGGGAGACGAGCGTGGTAGAAATGCTGTATTTTTAGTTGCTCTTCAGAAGCACCTCTGTGCCCTGTTTCTTCTGCTGCAATATGGTAACACTTTATTTTTTTCCAATCATTATGGCACATTTAATAGTCTTTTTTCTCCGGGTGAAACTCTTTCAAAGCTGGGAAGAGATGAACACATCCAAGTGACCAGTGTCTCTGCTGGCCTTTAGCCAGTAACACTACATCTCAGATCTCCATTACTGCATCTTCGCAGC